GTAAAGACTTTAAAATTTCCCTTACTCTCTGTCGTACGACGCTAGCTTGGGAGTAGAATCTCTGACTGATGCCAAATCGGTCAGGTTTCGACCTCGGCTTGAAGTAATCGGATGTCTAGCTACACTAATGAGCTGTGATACACCGAAACAGTCTGTCTGTGGATGACTATATATATATATATATATATATATATATATATATATATATATATATATACACCCGTGCATAAATATCACCAATTAGCTGGATGGTGCATTCGAATACACTTTTCTTATTTTAACAAAAGGAAGTCATTTATTAGACGCAGATGTAATGAGGCTGCCGTCACTGTCACATGTCCATTGTGCAAGTTTGGATTAGCCCTGATGCTGTTTCGTTTACCGGCCAGCTTATTAATATACAAGCAGATAATGAACCAGAATTAAAAACAGGATTTCTATCCATCGCTATGTAAATGTTTTCATCGGCAGTCTATGGAGAAATATATGAAAGAAGAGTATGTGAACGTGTTGCGCCGATTTACGATAGATGAAGGAATTTCGGTGTAATGTCTATTATCTGTTGGCCATTGACAGAGATTAACTTTATCAAAAGAACTGACAAAGTACTAACAAAATAATCCATTTAAGGCATATCAGGACAACGAAAAGCAAGTCAATCAGATATGTTTTCGAAATCAATTGCAAAACAATGACAAAATAAAATGATATTTAGTAAGATAATGTTTCAATTCTAGAATAGGAATTGTATCTAATACCACTATAGATTGGTGTAGGACCTGGATTTATTGGTAATTGCAGTAAACAAGAATCACCAGTCTTCGATAAATCTCACAAAAAAAAAAAAAAATAATGAGTATTAGCACTTTCTTGCCAATTTCCAATTTAGGAGTACTTCCAAAACCGAATTTAGAAATAATTTCTAGGTTTAAAGGATGATTACGACTGGAGATCGTCCTGATTAAGCAAACTAGGATTTTTATTAATAGGTTTATAGGTATTATCTATCTATCTATCTATCTATCTATCTATCTATCTACCTCTCTCTCTCTCTCTCTCTCTCTCTCTATATATATATATATATATATATATATATATATATATATATATATATATATGGGTGTAACAACAAAATTGTCGAATTCTTAGATTAAGCCTTGAACCGTTGTAGCTTAAACATATCTTTCTTACTGGAATTCTCCGAGGTTTTTATAAAACTGTTGAACTCTACATTGAACAATAAGAATGTATTTAGCTCTAAGTTGAAATGATGATCCCTCTTGCTCTTTTGACCTGCAGATCCAGTTTTCCTCCCTACTGTTCCCTCTTTTTTTTAACTTATTCACTGTTCTCTTGATTGTTCTTGAATTGGTGACTTTGAAGATAGAAGTCAGACTATGAACGGTGGGGTACCATTTCTGAATAATCTTTTCTTCCCACACCATTGATCATTTAAGAAGACATAGTAGAGCTAATAAAAAAAGATTTTAACTTGTTCTCTTTCTAGCTGAATAACCCAAAGGATTTTTCAGTGATTCTTTCGACAAATGGTGTCAAGATGGCTAAACGTCTTATCTGAAAAGCTGTGAAAAAGAAACTCAATTAGTTTAGTGGTTTTTAGATATTAAACATTTTGTGAGATGGACAATTATCCCATGCTATTACACGATTTAGACAATTTTGTTGTTACACCGTTATATATATATATATATATATATATATATATATATATATATATATATATATATATATATATATATATATATAATTGTGCATTTAGGCAGTAATCCCTGTTTTATAAAAGTTTCATTAAAAAAAAGAAAAAACAAGTTACTGCGGTTACGATTTTATTTAATTTTTCATGTATTCTTATAATTTTCTTCTTTCCTGGTCACAAATTATGTAGAAATTGTCCAAATTTTTTGTATGTCCGAGGGCTTTCGGCTATAATTTTAGCCTTTATCAAGGATAATTTTATAATTGCTTTTACCTGAACGTATGGATTGTTTTGTGTGTATCTAGAGTTATAGGTATATTTTATTTTCATACACAGTCAACACATTTTTTTTAGTGTTCATAAAAGATATTATTGAGCGTTGGCTTTAACCCGTTGGGCCAGAAATAATCCCGAACAAGGAAAGAATAAACGAATAAAAGGCAAATACCTACACAGTAAAGTGCACAATGTCTAGATTACCTGGGAAAAAAAATCAAAAACGCTTCAGAACCTTAACTCCTAACAAAGTACTTCCCGAATTATTACTCGAGTTTCCCGCTTTCCTTCCATAATGGTAGTTCTAACAAAAATAAAAATAACATTACGCAGAGTTTAAAAAGACTGAAGTAGTAATGAACAAGCTAACCAATACTCCACGGTAATGTAATCTTTCTCTATTTCTGAAAATTAACTTCTGTCGCAGTGTCAGACAATGGAAGACCCCAGCGAAATTCTTGGATTTGCGGCCGGTGTAATGGATAATGTCTCAGAATTGTTAATCGGACAGCCGAATACTAATTTCAGTTTGGTTCGCTATATATATTTACGCGAAACTACTCTTGGAAAAGGAAAGAATCCACCTCTTCTCCCCCAGCTATGGGTTAATTAATCATTACTATCTCCAAACAAAATATTCTTACAATCTAAAATTATTTTCTGGTTTTAAGTCGTAGAAAATGAATGAATCAATAAGGTTACGTCGATTCAATACAAAGTTAAATTTCTTGGACACTAATTGACAACGAACTTACGACGGCACTAACAATGGTCTTGCTTGACTAGCTTACTAAACAGTTATAGAAAGTAATAAGTTAGTCTAATCGAAAGCCACAAGGTACTCAGTGGAGATCGAACCCGTTTCAATATTAATGATCACCAAATAAGCGTGAAAATCACAATTGCCATGCCTTTTTTATATCTCATATATCAATACCTGGTCCCAGCAAAGGGAACAAAAAACTTGGTGTTGGGTTACTAAAGGAAACAGATATCCAAAAACTGTATGGCACGTGTAATAAACACAATCTACCCCCATTGACTAAATAAAGGGTTCAGGGTGAAATTCCAATGTATATTACCTGAAGAAGGTCGGAGTGTACAACGGCCAAAACGTCGTGAATAAAGCAATAAAGATAAGGACCATAGTTCGAACGATGTAAATAGTGTAAACAGTTACAATACGTCATCTCAGAAATATAGACACATACAGAAAGCCAATTGCAAAACAATTTTAACGCTTTTTGGGTGAGTTGATAAACAATAAACTGGCTTTTAAAAATGGCATAATTTCGACACGTGCTTCTATACTGTTTCGTGACGAGTGAGATAACTCGTTTAAGAAGGACCTAGGCCAAGTATAGGCGGGAAAAGAGTGCTTGAGAAATTGACTAGGTGAACGTGAAGACAAGAGATTAGAAGACAAATTGAATGGGTTGATTGAGTTTATGAAAGGACAATTCTTATGTTATTTAATATCGAAATAAGTATTTCTTATTTAATTATATTTCTTTGTGTCAGCAAGCATTTACTTATTTTGAGAATAAGTAAATATTCGTTGTTTATACCTGAGATTATAAACATATGCTTACTTAGTGAATAGGTAAATAATGAACTATAAACCATTATTTGCTTTAGGAATAGGTAAATATTGGTTGCTTATAAGAATTTACTTGGTCGGGTGTAAGTAAATATTGGACGTTTATTTGTTTTTAAATGCATTTACTTCTATTGGAAATAGGTAAATATGGGTCGTTTAGAATAGGTAATATTTGCATCTATAAGCATATACTTAGTTTAAGGGTGGGTGGAAATACATCATTTATGCTTGCTTATATCTGAATTGTAAGGGACTTCTTATTAGGTATGTTTTACATCTGCAGGAGATTCATTTGGTGCATTTAGTAAACCACACCATCCTCCCTACACGTGCTGCAAATGTGTATATATCCGATAAGGTGCGCGTGTATCAACAAATTCGCGAGCGGATAATAATCAAAGTAGCTATTTTGGTAAGATTTATTTTTCGACATAATCTTTTTTCTTAAAACAATGGCGAATATATATTACGTAAGTCAAATAGGATAGGTGTAAATCTCATATCAAAATTCAGTGAATAACTCAACGCCAAATATATATTTTTTTATTCATACTCATATATCTACATGAAATAGAAAGGGGGACTTTATTTTTGCTTGGTAGGTGAGAAAAACAAAGAAAAAAAAAGAAAGATGAATAATTGGATGTGAGCAAGGAAACGAAGTGGTCCAAAAAAGAAATGATCAGAGAAAAACAGGAACAGTAAAAGGCAAATATAAAACAAAAGAAAAAGATAGAAAAAAACGTGTTGTGCCTTGGGGGGAGAAATATGTTTGTACAAAAAAAAAAAAAAAAAAGACATAAAGAAGCAGAAATAAAAGGAGAAGGTGTTTTTGCTTGTATGAAAAAAAAAAAAAAAAAAAAAAAAGAAAAAAAAAGAAAGTGTGTAGAAAGATAAAAGAAAAAGAGAGAGAAATAAAGAATGTGTGTGTAGAAAAGAAAAAAAAACAAGGAGTATCAATGAGATAAAGAGAAAGAGAGAGAGAAACTGAGTGAGAGAGGAATGAATTGAAAAAAGAAAGAGAGAGAGAGCACGCAATATATTTGCATGTGTCAATTGGTACATATTTAAAGCGTGTATAAATTTGGCCTGTGTGTATGTGTATGTGTGTGTGTCTGTATGTTAGCCAATGGGATATATAATATTTATATGTATGTTTCGTTTAGATAGTCTCCCGTATCAATTAATACTTAGTGCTCTGTAGTAGTGAACTTGTGCCAAACATCTAAACATAGCCAATAACTATAATACATTTATATGTTACTAGCACATAAATGAGAGATTACAATGAAATGAAATGCTAACAAAGAATGTTTTTTTCTTTGTAATATCCACTGTCTTTCCAGGTAAAATTGATCGTTACACGTGTCATGTGCTTTTTGCGACATGAAACATAAACAGTTATACGTGGGCTACAAATAGAAAAATAGAAAAAATAGATAGATAGATAGATAGATAGATAGATATAAACAAGAACCTATAGATAGCCACATATGAACAGGAATAGATAGATAGATAGATAGATAGATAGATAGATAGATAGATAGATAGATAGATACTAATAGACTAATAGAGAAGAGCACAACTTATAAATGCAAAGTGCAAATTTACATGCTAGCAGACCTAGACTGAATTCGGACCTACAGGTGCGAGATAGATAGATAGATAGATAGATAGATAGATAGATAGATAGATAGATAGATAGATAGATAGATAGATAGATGTGCAAGCAGTTTTATATGGGAGCTGGATTAAACGTAGACTTGCATAAATACGAACACACTGAGGTAAAATATAAGCTGATATATATATATATATATATATATATATATATATATATATATATATATATATATATAGAGAGAGAGAGAGAGAGAGAGATAGATAGATAGATAGATGTGGCATGTGGAATTATTGCATCGGTTACCGGCGTGAAAATTATTATAATCGAGCAGTCTGTATCTTCCAATTTTCCACAAATGTCATTCGGAAAGGCATGAACCCGATTCTTCTCTCTCTAACTATAGATTAAAGAATAAGGTGAGACGGGTCGCTCTTGACTCGGTTGGCAATTAGTCCAAGAGAAAAAAAAACCCTGGCATCCACAAACGTGGAGGAGTCAACGGGATATCAATCTACTATCTTTACCGAGAAGGCATATTTCACCAAGTCATAAATAAAAAGAAACTGTGGAGAGCCATGATCGCCTCCATCTTATTAGGACTGAGCTTTTTAAAAATATATAGATACAGTCATATATATAATCATCACTCACAGATACCCACCAACACACACACGCACACACGTATGTGTGGGTGCGCGCCGCGCGTGTCTGTCCGCGCGCGTATGTCGAATGTGTTTAGGCAGGAAGTGGATGTTCAGGTCGTGTAATGAGAAATAAGAAATTACAAGACCGAGTTCGAATTCCCGTTGAGTTCGTTACATTCACCTTTGGCATTCGTCTCTTGGTCCACCTATGGGTTAAAGAGTCGGACTTTTATATGAAAAAAAAAATCATTTATATTCTGTCAAAATTTTTCCTGCAATATTCACTCTCCAAGAAACTGAATTATTCTTATAATCAAAAATATGCTTTGGATTTAAACAACCCACCAATGGTTAACAAGCCGAAAAAAAAAGTGCCAAATCAATCATTCAGACAGAAAGTGTTGCTGTCGATTTGATTTAATATTCCGATGATTCATTTCTTTACAGCATTGTTTTGAAACTAAAACATATTCCTACACGTAAACATGTGTGTAATTGCTTCATTGTAGGCGTGTTGTCCCGTAAATAAGTGATAAAAAAAGAAGTACAATTTAAATAAAATTTATCTCAGTAGAAAATAAAACAAATAAATTAAAAAAAAGCAACATTAGATATGGAAGAAAGTCATTTATATTTAAGGAGAACGAAAACGGTTCATCAAAATCAATAGCGGAAACAAAATTAATAAAATGAATAAATAAAAACAAAATTACAAATGTTTGCTCAAAATATTTTTCACTTTAGCCTTCCGTACTTTTTTGTTAAATTTTGTTTCGATTTTTTTTTTCTTTTGTAAGAAAGTTTTTAATATCTAGAAACTATATAAAACGAGAACCATATAAAAAAGGCAACAGTTATATTAAAAACAAAACAAAAATTTAAACAAAACCTGGAATAAAAAATTAAAAACCTGGAATATATATATATATATATATATATATATATATATATATATATATAAAATCAAAATGATTAAAGCATACTCTTTCATGGAATACGTGGTCATTATCGGTATATAAGACGCATGTTAACAAAAACTCGAGAGAGAGAGAGAGAGAGATTGTGTTTTATGCTTGAGAAGAGAAGAATGGACACAACACATCATTATGTTTTCCTCGACGATCTTTTTCTATGATAATTTGTGCATTTTGGAAAACTGAGCAATTTTTTCTATCCAAATTCTCGTACGTACACGATTAATAATAAATTTCTGTCTTTTCTTATATTTAAAAGAAACAAAAACAAACAAGTTGCGTCTTATATACTATGAAATAGTGGAGGTAAGTTTATTATTTTCTTACCTGATTGTTACACAACAATTGCCTAGTTTGTTCATCGATAGCTCCAGGGGCCAAAAGACTCAATCGCGTTTATAAAAATATATATAAAATAATACGAAAAATAAGTCTTTTTTATTCCTTTTTTTTCTTTCTTTATTCTTTTTTTCTTTTCTTTTTCTTTTTTGGTGAGACTTTTGTCCCTTTTTTTATCTGTCTCTAAATTTCTTTCTTTCGTCTTTCTCAGTTTAAAAACATATTTTTTGCAAGTTTTCCCAAGTGTACTTTTAAATCTTTTCTTTTCTTTAAAATTATTCCATCTGCAAGGACTACATCACGTGTCTCTATCTAACCCCAGATAATAATAATAATAATAATAATAATAATAATAATAATAATAATAAAATAATAATAATATTTTTTTCTTTTCTTTTAGCTGACCATTGGTCAGAATGGTAACCTCATGGCGGTTAACAGAATCCTACGCACAATCAACAAGTGTTTTTTTTTTACATTTATCTCCACACCAAAAACAAACAACCGGAAATTAAAATTTATAGTAATTTAAAATATTGAAAACTGATACAACTAGTTGCATTAATAATAAATTATACTAAACCATTTGGTATTCGAAAATAAAGAGTATTTTTGTAAATACTTAAATATCCGGGTACTTATGTATATAAAAAATAAGGTTATATATTTTATTGTCAATAGCGTAGCAGGGAAAGATCTACTGTAAGTACAAGAAGAGACAAATCAAAGATTCTACTGTTGAGACATCAATGAATTAATTAATTAACGGAAAATTAAGTTTGCCGAAGAGTGATATCATAACACTACGTTCGCGATTTTTTTTTCTTTTTTAATATATTTAAAATATATCTTCTGTCTCTACGCACGCTTTACTCACGACTTAAATGCAGAAACCTCACACTCCTCACTGTTTTCCACGACTTTTTACAGACATGTGCATGCGTGACGGTATTGTTTTTGTTTCTCTTATCGGCAAACGTATCTAGTTCAGGTGGAAATAACGAAAGACGTGGAAGACGCGAAAACCTTGCTAGTGGGGCTTTATGACGATGATGATAACTGTTGTAACAATAATAGCAACAACAGTTAGAATTTTGGTGACGGTGTGGAGCTCGGTGCGGACCGTGATCGTGTTGGCTGTGGCGGCGGCGTCGGTGGTGATGCAGGGGTGACTGTCTGTTGAGTCGACGATGGGCGGCAGTCGAGATGGCCCTGTCAAGCATTTGGTAGTCCGTGTTTAGATGTGTGCGGGCCAAGCCGAAGAGGCGAAGAGACTACAGAATTTACGAGTAGGTTGATTTTAATTTAAAGGCATTTTTTTTATCCGTTTCGTGAGTACTGGAAAGTGAAAGAGAGAGAGAGAGTGCGAGAGGGACAAAGGGAAGGAAAGGGAAGAAAAGGAAAGGAGAGGAAAAAATGGCTGCAAAAACGCAAGATGCGGCTACAACAGCGACATAGAAGCTAGACAAGGGCGGGAGCGGTATCCGAAAACGGTCGCGGAGACGACGGTAGTAGCAGTTGTAGAGGTGGTGCCTCTCACATGAGAGGAGACGAAAGAGCCAGTGTCTGTACGCATTGCTACCACACCTACCTGCGAAGTCACTATAAAATACTATTACTACTACTACTACTACATGAGCATTAGTAGTAGTAAAAGTAGATAAACAAACATACCAAAACACCAATGCATGGCATACACGACTTGAGTAGGTGCACTTGGGCGCAATCTTTCAATGCTAATTCGACCAGGATACTTAGGAAAATACAAGTAAATAAATAGAAACAGTTTTAAACACTCTTTTTCTCTCTCTCTCTCTCTTTCTCTCTCTCTCTCTCTCTGTCTGTTTCCCTCTCTGTCTATATAGATAGATAGATAGATACTCTCTCTCTCTCTCTCTGTTTCCCTCTCTGTCTATATAGATAGATAGATAGATAGATAGATAGATAGATAGATAGATAGATAGATAGATCTCTCTCTCTCTCTCTCTCTCTCTCTCTCTCTCTCTCTCTCTCTCTCTCTCTGTGCTACACTTTCAATGCGTCGGTGATCATAGTTCACAACAATTCTTGCCTTCACATACTCTCCTTATCACCCCCTTTTTTACTCCCCTTTTTCTTACACTCCTTAATATTACTTTTTTCTTACTCCTCTTCTTCTTCCTCTTCTTAATTCTCTCCTTATTTTACTTTCCTTTTTTGTATGCTTTTTCTTACACTTCTTAATATTACCTTTTACTTACTCTCCTTTTTCTTACTCTCCTTTTTCTTACTCTCCTTAATACTCACCTTTGAATTACTCTCCTTTTATTACTCCTCTTTTTTTTCTTTACTTCTCGTCTTTACTTACTCTCCTTTTCACTTTCCATAATTCTCTCCTATTTCTTACTCTTCTTTCTTATACTTCTTAATACTTACCTTTTTCTTACTCTCCTTTTTCTTACTCTCCTTTTTCTTACTCTGAAGAATGCTGTCCTTTTTCTTACTTTCCTTCAGATTCCTTTTTTTCTTCCTATTTTCCTTACTCTCTCCTTTTTTCTCTGCACAATACACCTTTTTCCTTAATAGTCTTCTTTTTCTTAATCTCCTATCTAATCTCTTTTTCCTTACACACCTTTTTTACTCTCCTTAATACTCCCTTTTTTCTTACTCTAATTAATTAATACTCTCCTCTTTCTGACCTTCCTTAATGCTCTTCTTTTTTTTAATCTTAATCGCCATTATAACATGGTCCTTTATGACCTCTGACTTGGTAGTTATTTCTGTGACTTATGAGCCAATTCTGTCAACTCACATTATATGATAATGTTTCTCCACAACTTCCTTTAAAGGCGTACTATGTCATTACTTCTTTGGGAAAATACTTGTTTCCCATTACCGTTTCTCTATAAAGCTTCGTGACTTTTTTAATGTCATCTCAGATCTTTAATAAATATATATGCAATTTATACTACGGTTAATGGGTGCACCTTCCAAAATCTAGATGACACAGCTCAATCGGGGAAAGAATGACTCGTATCCAAAACAAAGCTAGTAACGTTTAAGCACCACAGAATAGATCCTAGATTTTCTACAGCATTTAGTTAGCGGTTGTTGTCTTTCCCTCTAACGTCTACTGGGACTAAAGCTGACTCGAGACATCAAGTAGAACTAATATATTCGTGCCATCGTTAAAGATGCTGAAAGAATGGTCGATTCCTTGTACCACTCCGGAAATATTTGATTTGATTGTTTAACGGCATATCACCTCTTTATGGGTCATTTAATGAGGAAATTTAACTTTCTTAGTATCTTGGAAGTAATAAAAATATGATATATGTTATTCTGCTTTCACAATTGAATACATGGTAGATTATACTCAGATTTTGTGCATATACATGCTTGTATTGACATAATTTCTAGAGGCGGTGATTTGTGTGTTTTATGTTGCAGTATAGTTAAAGTTATATTTTGAAATACATTTGAGAACTTGGATATTATATGGATTAATGTCATGAAGAAGTTCTTTCACGATGGCCGTTTATGTTTAGTGACATATCAATCTCTATATGTTATTTAATACCGAAATCTAAATATTGTGAACACAATTTCATGGCTTCAACTACATATAAAATATATTGTTTGTCATTTTGCTATAATATGTATTGTTGGTAATTCTACTATAAGAATGTATAATTATACTTTCATAGTGTTTTGCTTCTGTTTGGGGGTCCGTATCTGTCCATAGTTGGGACCCTAGCATAAGCCACCACCTTGGGCCAGGGTGGACCTGGGAAAAACAGCAATTAACAGGTTGCTCCACGCTCCTTAAAAACGCCCGATCAGAAGCCTTGCGGACGGATGTATTTTATCGGAATACTCAAGACTACTCCGGAAAGTACCTGACTTCTACTGCTGTCGGATTCTTTGCAAGAGTGAGATCAGACAAAAAAAAAACTGTGTATTGGTGTATTATATGGTTTAGTACTGGCCAGTCGTCACGGGTCAGCATTGAAGGTGATGTCTTGTTTCCCATCCTACAGCCACTTTCCCCATAGATAAAATGTTGCTAGTCCCTCGGTACTCTATCGCTCTTCCAAATGTTCAGACGAGCGAAATTCCTTAGTTCCACCAGTCGATACCCGACTGTCTAGCACCCGAAATGAAAAGTACCCGGCATCAATACATTCTCTTTCTCTTCCCGAAAATCACCACCTTCTCCGACCACGACAGTCTCAACTGTTTCAGTTTTTTGTGTAACTAGTGAGCCAGTCAAAATGACTTGACTCACTTTATAGTCCACTAATAGAAGGTTAACCAATCAGAAGACGTAAAATATTCAATCCGTCGTGTATAAAGGCGGCCATTTTGTTTACTCTCCCCAAATATCCAGTGCCAGCTTGTCAGGCGAAGAGAAACAGAAGGAAGAACTACTGAACAATGCTCTGCTACTTTACCGGGATAACCACTGCTAACCTGAACTACGCTATCCTACTGTCTTCGAAATATTCACTGCTAACCTCTGGATTCTATACTCAAAGACGATCGTCATCATGAACAACATTAACGTATTCAAGTCTAAAGACAACCGTTAGTTATCCTACATATCTTCATAAATGCACCAATTCTTCATATCTTCACACTCTTGCAATAATTACTTTAGTAAACTTTAGTGATACTTCGGCCTTGTATTTGGGGAACAATAGTAATAAATAATATCCGTTCAGGTCGTAGACAATCATGGCCATCCACACGTTTCTTCATTATCGGTAAATTGCTTGAAATCTTGAGAAAATCGTGAAGTGGTTTCTCATCTATGACTTTAAATTTCGAATTCTTGTGCGAGACTGACTGTCAACTAAATCTAGAGAGAGGCGTCTATGTTGCTATTTAAATTATAGCGTAACGAGATCAAAGGAAGTCCTGCCTTTCACAAAGTGCATTAGAGTAAAGTGAACCTAACAAATTTCATCCCATGTCCCTTTAGAACGTGAGGGGTCATAGCTCTCCAAAACATCCTTTCCTTTGTAGATCTTCGTATCTTTTGTATTTTCAGTATCCCTCCCGCTCACTGTTTTTTGGTATACATCGACACGGTCTCGTTATGCAGGTTATTGGCTGTATCCACTTGTCCTTGTTACCTTCAACGTGTGCTGTGAGTGTCAAATTTTCCAATCCCTCTTTCCTTAGCATATGTTCCAGAAATTTCAACTATCTTTTTCTGATTACCTATATAAGTGTCCTTCTGTTTTCATTTTCCTTAAAACTTCCTCGTTGCTCACATGCTCTATCCATTGCTACTTTCGGCATCATTTGGCAAAGATGCATATCCGATGTCTCCTCTTTGCCTGTGACGAAAATGTCTAGCATTCACTGTCATCTAGGGGGATTAATATTACATAGCAATTCAGCACTCTCTTTTTTTGTTTCAAATAAAACTTTCCTATTTCTTCGTACTTAGTTTCTGCTTAGTTTATTGAAGGCATCTTTCAGTGTTACAATGCGCATTCGGACTTCGGTATCATATTTTCCATCCTCTCTTAAATAACTTCCAAGCTGTTTTAATCTTTTGTACTTTTTTAATAGGTATCAACCCATGCAAGTCAGTAAGGCTTCTATGACACAAGGGGGTTACAGGGTCTGGAAAAATTAGGAACAGAAACATTAATAATGAGCGGGAATAGAAAATATTAATCAGAAGGACAGTAGATAGCGATTGGCATTGCATTTAAATTTTTTCTGAAAAGCATGAAGCCAGAAGGTAGTTCCACAAGCGAGAAGTGCGAGAGAGAAAAAAAATTGTTAGCATAGAATTTGAAGCTCCATCTAGCCAGCTCAACTGTAAATATATGAGATGTCGACGCCTGTCTAGTGCTGCGCTTATATTCATAACCTCTAGGTACCACAGCGAAAATCTCATCAGATCAATTACCATGAAAGTATTTATCGAAAACACACAGAGAGGCAACCCCCTACCTCGGTGGGAAAGAGACTGAAGTCGAGCTGCCAGATCAGGACTAATAATATTGCTGGTTCTGCTTTGGATTTTATGAAGAAGCTCAACGTAAATAGCCGGAGCACCGGTCCATATGCTGTAGCAACTTTTTATGCATGTGCGAATGGTAGACTTATAGGTATGTAATATAGATTCTGGAGATAAATAATTTTCTCGCAAGACGTAGTGAACCATTTTTCTGACCTAGCAATGGATTCAATATAGTCTTTCCACTTCACGTTATCTGAGAACATCAGCCCGAGAAGGCGTAACCATGTAAAATATGTAATTCGTAATTCTTCTCTTGCTAATAACTGTATTTTCTGTAAGGAAATTGTCGAACATGTCTCAGGCTCGCCTAAATTAAAGATGGCTGAAAAGCAGCGACATAGATACACTAGAAGATCTGCAGGAGTTATAAAATCGAAACGGCTAAACATCAACCGAGAACTATCACTGAGAATAGCGATGTCCCCATTGTCTGGAACAAGTATATCTACAATGGCAAAGGAAAGTAACTCTGATATTATCATTAACAAGGACAAGAAAAAAAGTGTTGGATGCTCATATCAATAGTAATAATATAGTCAAAAGTGACAAAGAAGCCTAAATGACCTGATAATGAGATCAACTGGATACGGAGAATGAAGGCGGACAATAACAGGAGTAGTAAGAGAAGGACCAAAAATCACGGAGAAGGGAATGGGAAAGTTCATTAAACGTATATCCAGGTAGCATCGACATCTACGCTAACGAAAAGATCAGCCGACTTGTATTGACCCACATCTTACAGAAAGCGCAACCATTCTACAAGACAAAAACAAAAAACATGAAGGAGGAGGAAAATACTATTATCCTATTATAATTCTGCATGTCCCTCTCTTCGTTGGTTCACACGATCATTACCCCGTGCCAATTCCTCATAATTGATTTTTTTTCTCGCGATGAAAAAGGGAAAAGATACTAGTTTTCTGTGAAAAAATGAAAGAAAGAAGGGAAAAAAGAAGTGGGGGACAGAGAATCAGATTAAGCTGTTAAGAACAGCTACTACACT